TTTTTTTTTAAAACAGCTGCTGAATCTAAGTTGGAGCTCGGTACCTGGTTGGACCTTGATGAATTCAAGTCAAAGTATTTACCGTTTAGGTATGTCCAATTGTTCAATTGTGAATATATGTTAATATAGTGGTGCATTTAGCATTTACTGTTAATATATGTTAATATACTGACTGTCAAAGCATTTACCATTACAAATTTGGTCTCTGCATTTGTACAATATTGGAGAGGAAATTAGTCCAAGGAAAAACTTCTACGGTCGCTGGAATCGTAGTAGAAATTTGAATAAGAAAATGACTTAAAAAAATACAATTTAGGCCTTGTATTATGAATATCAGAACAAAGCCAATAAATGAATTTGTTTGGTCATGAAACCTATGACCTATCACACTAAAAATGCCAACAATAATAGGTAGTATATTAACATATGAACCACTATACTAAACTTATGGAATGAAGTCCATGTCTGGGATCATAAAACTATTGGTATTGACCACGCCAGTGAAATGTTAGTTAATATCATGGCGTGGTCAATACCCATAGTTATATGGTCCCAGACATGGACTTCATTCCATGAGTTCAGTATAGTGGTTCATATGTTAATATACTGCCTATTATTGGTGGCATTTTTGGTGTGATAGGTCATAGGCTTCATGACCAAACAAATTCATTTATTGGCTTTGTTCTGATGTTCATAATACAAGGCCCAAATTGTATTTTTTTTAAGTCATTTTGTTATTCAGATTTTACTGCGATTCCAGCTTCATAAAGCACGACCGTGGAAGCTTTTCCTGGACTAATTTCCTCTCCAATATTGTACAAACGTAGAGATATAATTGGTAAATGGTAAATGCTGTTGACAACCAGTATATTAACATATCCAGCACTGTACTAAATGGTAAATGCACCACTATATTAACATATGTTCACAATTGAACAATTGGACATACCTAAACGGTAAATGCTTTGACTTGAATTCATCAAGGTCCAACTAGGTACGGTGCTCCAACTTAGTTCAGCAACTGTTTTGAGAAAAAAAAAGTGTGAACATCGAACTTATAAATCATGAAGCATTTATTTACATGAAAAAAATAAAAACATTTCTAAAAAATTTCTATGATTAGATTCAAATACGCTCCCGCTTTGAGCCCTGTAGTCATCCCGTGCCTTTTGAACACATTTGCATATAACTCGTAGTCTGCATATTCAGCCTCTTGGCTCAATAACCCTTTGAATCTAAACCACATTCTCGGTTAAATACACAAAATACTCAGCTAAGGGTTAAGGGGGTGTAAGCACCCCTTTCTTATTAGCGGCATAAAAAAACTAAGAGCATGTTTGTTTATGAAAAATTTTCATCTTTTTAACTCAACCACTTTTTTTAACTCAACTTTAACCTAACCCCACTATCATCAATATAATTAAATAATATAAATCAATCATTCATACACACTTCATCAACCTTAATTCACTATTCATCCACTCACAATATTTTAACTAACCATTACATCAAATCATCTCTCTCCTACTTTTACCTTAAATCAATTTTAATTATTTTATTTTAAATATTATTTTAATATATCCACTATCATCTAACCATATCACTTTTTTCAAAATTAACCAAACCAAATCAAAAAATCTAACAAAACCAAAATTTTTCATAAACAAACATGCTCTAAACCTTTCATAACCATTATTGCACAAAATCAAGTCACTAATTCTAATAACAGTCTGATTTCAAATTCTTTTACATATCACAAAAACTACAAAAGGATATAATTATTCATGAAGAGCAGCATAAAAATAACGAACGCATTCGATCCCAGTTCGCCTCCTCCAACCATTTCGACTTCCGCCACATCTCCCCTCTCAAGTCCCTCGACGAGTTCCGCGATGTGGGCCCCGCCATCGTCATGGCCTCCCCCGGTGGCCTCCAGAGTGGCCTCTCCCGGCAGCTGTTCAACCGCTGGTGCTCCGACCGCCGCAACGCGTAAGTCATCCCAGGGTACGTCGTCGAGGGCACCCCCGCCAAGGCCATTATCAGCGAGCCCAAGGAGGTGACCCTTGTCAGCGGCCTCACGGCACCTCTCCACATGTGGGTCCACAACATTTCCTTCTCCGCACACGCCGACTACTCCCAGACGAGCACTTTCCTCAAAGAGCTTGCCCCGCCTAACATCATCCTTGTCCATGGGGAGGCCAACGAGATGGGCCGCCTCAAGCAGAAGCTTGCGTCGGTCGTCTTTGCCGATGGAAACACCCGGATCATAGCCCCAAAGAACTGCCAGTCGGTCGAGTCGGTCGAGATGCAGTTCAACTCCCAAAAGATGGCGAAAGCCATCAGGAGGATGAGCTTTATTCACGCAAGAAATCACCCCTCCTCCACTCCTGTTCGCCCACCTGCCACCACCACCACCAAGGACGCCGCCGTCTCCATGTGTTCACATAAAATGTATGTTTTCTCCACTATTACTTACTCCTTCGGAGTTCGGACCGGCCTGAACGCATTGTCGCATTCCATCTTTAATTCACCTTTTAATTTTTAAACCCTCACCGATTCGTTGATTTACACCACAGACCTCATCTTTTCCCACCTCTTATTGCCATCATTTTGCGTTGTTCGATAATGGAAGTGATTAGAGCTACTTCTTTTAGTTTGGTTTAGTCTGTGTTACCGTTGATGGGATTCTAGAACTGAAACCTGCAACTCTACAAATATGTTGTCAAGTCACTAAATAAACCGAAGTCAGCCTTGTGCTATCAAATTGACTTTTTTTGCTATGTGTTGCATTGCCACTGCTTTAATCAACGCATGCTCCACAAAACAAACTGCAACCTTCAAAAATGACTTTCTAACGGACACCCGGTCGTATTCTTGATAGTTGTTGCTCCTTTGATAAAGATTTCTTAACTATTATCTCGGTAATTGTCTTTCCCTTTTTCCAGTGTTTAGTTAATGAAAAGGGTAATGGCGTATTACAATGCCGTGCCTCAACTTCTGCACGACCAGTGGCCCATCAAGAAAGCCCTCACAATCTCCGACATCGATATCTCCCACCCATTCCTCACATTGTCCAGACAGCAAGTCGAGGCCCATATCATGGTCCACATGACACCTCAGCTGAAGGACCACCTAAGAGCCGAGGGCCAGGTCAGCTTCGATACCCATGACGATGACACAAATGAAATCTTCTCCATGAAGCTCAAATGGCGCGGGAGCTACTACAACCTCATCGGCAAGTGGGGCAAAGTTGTTCGCACCAAGCGACTAGAGGTCGGGCAGGAAATCAAACTACGGTGGCTCAACAGCTGTCTCCACTTCTCGGTCCCACAGCAGCAGATTGTCTCGGTCCCGCCTATAAGAATGGTGGCGTTTCCTCTAGTACACGACAGCTGGCCGATCAGAAAGACGTTGACATCATCTGATGTCGACCCAAACCACCCGTTCCTCCCATTGCCCCGCAAATCGGTGGAGGAGCACGTGCTGGCCCACTGGACCTTTCTGGAAAGGGAGCGGTTGAGGAAGGAGGAGCAAATGTCGTTGGATGCTCGGGACTACGACACTGGGGAGGCCCACGAAATGAAACTCAAGTGGCGGGGGAACTATTACAACCTCATCGGGAAATGGGGGAATATTGTCAGGCAAAGAGGGTTAGGTGTTGGTCAGGAGATCAGGCTATGGTGGGCCAACAGCTGCCTCTACTTCTCGGTCCAGGACAAGTTGTATGTGGCGGGGCCTGGTCCCGATAACTGGCCCATCAAGAAAGCGCTCACGCTGTCGGATGTGGACACGAACCACCCGTTCCTGACATTGCCCGGGAAGGCTGTGGAGGACCATATCCTGGTGGTACTGGGCCAACCAGGCCCGGGAGCAGCTGAGGAATGACCAACAGGTTAGTGTGAACGCGCGGGATGACGACACGGGGGGTTCGTGCGTGATGAAGCTGAAGTGGCGTGGGAGTTATTACAATCTGATTGGTAAATGGGGGAAGATTATTAGGGAGAAGAGGCTGCATGTTGGGAGGGAGATTAGGGTCAGGTGGGATAACGGGTGTGTGGTTTTCTCGGTGCCTCAATGATAAAAGAGTTCATGATGATGTGTAGATATAGGTAGAAACTTCTTTTACCGTACAAGTCTATGGTTCTCTTTTGTGATGATGGGATCATGGGATGGCGAGTTCTGGGTGAGTTTCTTTTTATTTGTCTTTTGATGGTTGGCCTGACAGAACGAACATGACTGGTGTAAACTTGTGGGTGTTGATGAGCTAGTTTTACTTTTGCAGGCCATTGTTTTGCGGATCGAAAGAGCAGAAACTTTGACTTGGTGTCGTTGCTGGAGGCACGAAGCATTTCTCCAATTATGTGGTCCATCGCCCAACTTCCAAGGTTCATCGACTCGTTTGACTGCACATATATTAGATGTTGTATTCAAATCCATACTCCAGATTTGATTAGTGATTAGCTGTGGAAATGTGATACATGAATGGGTTTATAGTAATAGTCTGCATTACTAGGAAGTTTTTGTTGTGGCTCGTCGACCTTGATATTATTGCATTGTCCGTCTCAAAAACCATTAGTAGGGTTCTCGAATTCATGGAGGTGCTGCTTACATGTTGGGTTCTAAAGTTGCCCAAATTTTATTACAACCTATGTAATTTGGTGTTGACTGATGATATAGGTTATAACCTCTTGCTAGTGTACTTAAGATATGTGTGTATACTGATATATTTGGCGACTTCTTCTGTATGCATAGCAATTATCCGACACATTGTCTGTGGGCTCTGTGTGTGTGCGTTGTGTGTGTGTTTTTTATTTTATTAGATGAGACCCAAAAAAGAAAAAAAATGCAACTCTTGAATGTACATTGAACGAGAAGTTTGCGGTTGGATAAAATTTTTATTTAAAATTGTGTCATCTGAAAAGAGAGAGAGAGATTGATGAGGGTTCAACTAACCCTCAGCCCCCCAGCCCAAGCTAGTCGTGGCCTTGCCTGGTGAGCCCAGTCTAGCTGTGGCCCTGACTGGCTCGTGCCCTAGGGGACCCATCGACTCGAATGAGTCCCACAGTGGACTCATGGCCTTCCACACTGCTCAAGTGTGGTTTTTGCCCTCCCCAGCATTCGAACATGTGAATGCTCAGGGTCACAGGTTCGAATGCTGGGGAGGGCAAAAACCACACTTGAGCAGTGTGGAAGGCCATGAGTCCACTGTAGGACTCATTCGAGTCGGTGGATCCCCCGGGGCACGAGCCTGTCAGGGTCACGGCTAGACTGGGCTCACCAGGCAGGGCCACTGCTAGACTGGGCTGGGGGGGCTGAGGGTTAGTTGAACCCTCATAAAAAAGGGCGCATTTTTTTTTTCTTTTTTAAAAAATGGGATAAATGTAGAATTGTAAATGGATGGATATGAGGTAAAAATTATAATAACAAATGTGATAAAAAATAATAAGTTATTAATAATAGTAATGATTGTCAGAGTATATGAGTGAAGTGTTTTTTGTTGAAAAATATATGATAATATATACTTTTCTAACTTTTAATTGTGTTAGTGGCAATATATTTTTAATAATGTAATATCTCTATGATTTTTTATTTTTTTTTTCTCATTTCTTGTTTCCATGAGATAAAAACAAAACTAAAAAAAAAAATCTTATAACCAGCCACATTAGAATTCCACGTACTTCCATTAAATAAATCTATCTATCTATAATTCTCTTAAAAGTATGAGTAGTTTCTTGAAACTTTTGAAGTCCCAACAATATCCTTACTAAAGATAAGTTTTAAGGTTATGAATGTAATTTTTTTATTAATGATAAGAAGTTACAATTAACAATATTTGTTAAATTTTTTGAACTTTCATTTCTTAATTTACTTATATTCATTATCTTTTATTTTTTATATTTAATTATATCTTAAAGTTTTTACACATACATAAAGATTATCTACGCACATTGATATATTTTAAATAAATAATATATTTTAAATTATATTAATCATAATTAGTTTACATACGACCTATGACGTTAGGTTTCTATTGGTTATTTTAAAGGTAGTTTTTAAATGTAAGAGAAGATATTGTTCTAAATAAAATATTTTTATTTCATAAATGTAAAATATATATGCATCAATGAAAATACCATCTATAATTACCAACTATTATATTATTACTACATAAACATTTTGTAATAGTATTAAAAAAACTAAAGAGGACAAATTTGGTGAATATGCATATGTTTAAGGATGATGGAATGAAGAATAATTCTTCATCATACAAAATGTCAATTTTTTTGTGGAAAAAAGTTATTCGTTAAATGAAAAATATATAATCTTAAAATATTTTGTTCAAATTATTCACTAAAACAATATGCATAATATGATTTAAATTTACCTGTTAATAATAGTATGTATAACATAATGTTCTTTTATGATAGTATGTGTTACATAAATTAATCTACTATCTATTTTAATTGTAATATAAATAAAAATAGAGTAATTATAAAAATTAAATAAAATAACTAAAACTCTATTTTAAATCTTGATTTTAAAAAAAATGTGCACTTATTAAAAATAGTTACAATTAAAATATGCTAAATAAAAGTATATAATAGATTTACTTTAAATTTGTTGTCATTAGCCACTCTTATTTATAGAACTACCATTAATTTTGTGCACATGTACATGTTACCAAAAATAAATAAATATTATATATAAAAATCATAATTGAAGCAAAATTTTACTCAATAGTAAATTGAATTAAATTAAAGACCCTTAGTTGAGTTTTATACTTCGATAAAAAAAAGAACAATAACAATAGAAATGTTAAACCTATATATTAATGACTATTATTATATGAATATAATGAATAATCTAATTTATATATTAATGTTGTATTAATAATAAAATTATTACCAAAGTAAAAAAAATATAAAACATAAAATGGACAATGCAAATCTTATATATCACATAAATTGATCTTTTCAGAGAATTACAATACAAATGATATACATACTATATTTATATAATAAAATACGTGTATATTTAGATTATTTCATTGATAATTTTTCACTTATAATTAAGTAATTATATTGGTATTACTTTATAGGAAAATTATTTCGTCATTATTAAATATGAATATAATTTTTTTCATTTGCACAAATATGAAGAAAAAATAAAGAACCATTTCATCTCAATTAATACACCTTACTAAATTTTTTTATGTAGTTTACAACACTTAAAAAACTAATTTAGAATTAAAATTTATAAAAGATAACATAAGTTTATAAACTAACATTAATTTACATTATTAAGATGGCTTGAAAAGATAGGTAGGATTATTTATCATATATATATATATATATATATATATA